ATTTGTGTAGCCTCGGCTGCCTACAGAGACCGGACTTTTTCACAGCATATTCAGAGGACATGTAACTAGCGGATTGTGAGGAGATGTTTGCTGTATGTGACAAAAACTTTTCAAGCTTAGGAAGACTTAGAGAGCCTTTAAAATTTAAACTGTATATAATATGACAGGATGGCACACAATAGCATAAGTCATGATTTTATGGCACCTGGTAGCCCAAAAACTTGCTGGTTTCACTTCAGAAAAATGTCCCATTTTAGCTAAGATAGATAAGTTAAATGGTTGATAAAATGCAACATCCTACAACCATTTTTGTTGTTATAGCCTACCTTTATGTTTTAGCTGTAGTGTTCTTATTACCAAAAAGAGGAAATAAACATGCCACATGGTTTTCCTTGCAAGTTCAGGGACCAGTGATTTTTTTGACACTTTGCTCTGCCTGTCCCAGTTATCTCAGATCAATCAAAATTGTAAAACACATTTGTGGTAACAATGGTAACACTGTGGTGACATGTTTGGTGACTGACTGCTAATAAAGAACTGAAGAGGCAAAACCTTATTTATTCCATTGTACCTGACTTCACTTTTTCCTACTTCAAGATATTACATGTATCAGTGAGTTTGAGATGTGCTGGTATGGACTGTGTTGCCTTTTTTCACAGAGCTGTTTCCCCCTCATTTCAGTTTTTAAGCTAAGCTAAGCTAACTTTCTCCTAGCTATAGCTTCATGTTTAAATAACAGACATGACAATGGTGTTGACATTCAGATCTTATTCTCCACAAGAAAGTGAAAATACATTTTTCCACAATGCCAAACACTTCCTTGAAGAAAGGATCTGCGCTTCCTTCACCACCGTTTTTTGCACACTCACAGCCACACTTGTTGCTGTGGCTGTTTGCAAAGGTGCACAGGAAGTTTGGTTAAAAATCTAATTTCCTTTTCAGAAATGACTTGAGTGACTTTGCATGATCATCATCACAACATGCCCATCCAGGAAGTCTGACCTCGTGTCTATCTTTGGAGACGTTCAATTGTGCATTTCTCTACCTTTGAGATAAGATAATGTCACCAGTCAGCCATGCCCGCAGGCCGGGCGATTCTAAGATCAGTGGTTTAGGGGTGCTGAGCACCCAGAGAGCTGCCCAGCCAGGCAAGATAAATTTCACTGTTTTGTACATTTTAACGCAATTTCATTCCCACATTTGTGAAAGAAAAGCACAACACTTTTTGGGAAAGTCTGTGACTAAACCATCAAATCTGATAAAGGTTATTTAAATGCTGAGACACAGCAAAAGAGGAATGGATTGAAATCATAAAAGAAACATATCGTAAACCTAATTTCTGGGGGAAGACAACTCATTTTGATACAGCAGCTCCTCAACATACACATGAACAGTATGTATGTTTCTGGAGTAAACCAGCCCCCTATAGTGAGTACCAAAAATACTAATAAGAATATTAATAAATAAAGTCCTCTCTCTGCTCCTCTCTCTCTCTTTGTACTGTCAACCAAAAGGCAAATAACCAAACAATGCGTTTTATATCTAATAAGAGATATAAACTGATACATTGATCCAACTTACAACATCATTCTAGACAGACCACACACTCTTATCTGAACCTGGCTCTTTTTTTTGTTTTTTGAAAAAACAATCTTATATCCATGATGAGGCTGTCTGTCTGTACACGCGCGCGCGCGCGCACACACACACAATAGGAGTTATAATGTTAATGGGCATCCAGTCAGTTAGCTAGTCAGTAGCACCTTGGCTTTAATATTAACACATGCACATGTGAGCCCAAGGCCAAAACACACCGGCGGCGTCATATGACGGCGGCGTCACTGACGCGAGTCAAGAACACTCTGATGAGACACACAAAAAGCGTCGCGCTGCAGGGCGTCAACCGGATTTCTATTGCACGGGAGCTGGAAAGTACAAAATAGCGCTTTTTCAAGGGCGGCGACGCTGGAAAAAATAGGACAATAAAGTAAAGTGCCGCGCCGCAGGTGTGGGTTTGTAAATAGAAAATAATGGGGGCGGCTGTTTTGACGCGCGTCGTACGCCGCCGGTTACTTCCCAGACTAGCGGGCTGGAGTGTGCAATAGAAATCTGGTTGACTCCCCGCAGCGCGACGCTTTTTGTGTGTGTTGGAGGCGGCACTTGACTCGCGTCAATGACGCCGCCGTCATATGACGCCACCGGTGTGTTTTGGCCTGACACAACAACTAGCTTCTCTCATTCCAATTCAAACAGAGGACAGTGGTACTGACCACCTGTAACGTTTCCTAGCTAGAAACAACGTCAGCTAACTCCTACCTAACAACATAAACAGTGACCTACGATTAAATGCAGCAAAAAAGAGGCCTGGTAATGATAATAACGTGTTGTATTGAGTGGTAGAAGTTAAGAAATGTGCCACATATCCTGGTTTCAGCCAGGTACTGCATATCCCCCACTCTAGAAGGCAGCGCTTTGCTCTGTGCAGTGCAGATAGAGCTCAGCGCTCAGAGACCGGGGGCCTGTATCACGAAGCAGGATTAATGTCTTAGCGAGGTAACTTCAGGGTTAACCCTGGGTTTTCGGTCTCACGAAGCCGGTTCAGTTCTTATCGGGGTAGATCACCATGGTAACTTACTCTGAACGGCTATCCTGCTCCGGAGCAGGGTAAGTTCAGGGTTGAATCTGATCCTATAAAAAGCACCACCCACTGGCCAATCAGCTGTTCGAAAAAAAAAGACTCTGCTGACAGAAATGCAGCCCAGTCATGACGGGAAGTTTAATTCATTTGATTGATTTTGATTTGAAAGTTTATTTTGAACATTAAAAAAGAAAAAGCAACAACAACAGACAATGAAAAGATTGCTCAAAAAGGAGTGGAAAGAAGTCGAAATTTCATCCCGCCCCTTCATAAGAAAGAAACTGATCATTTGCGGACACTTAATATATTAGTGCCAACATTTTGTTGGAGGAAATGATCCCTGTTAAAGATAATGGGCCTAATTGACAGCTTTGCTGCTGGAAGTGTGGAAAGTAGCCTATCATGTCTACACTTCATGGTGTTTGAGGGATTTTCCTTTTTGTATTTTAAAGAGGGAGACTAGGTATATTTCTGCACAGCTGTTAATTTCTAACACAGCTCAATATCAGGATGATTATATTCAGACTATCAATTTGGTGTTAATATGATTTAATTGTGGCATCAGCTTTAAGCTTTATTGTAGCATATATAACGTTATGACAAAGAAGAGCAATTTATCAGACGCAATGATGTTAGACGATAATTGTAATACACGCAATTCATCTGCGCAACATTGATTTCATGGGATTCAAGGGTGTGATCAGTGTCAGATGTACAGGTACAGGTACTGCAGCTACTTGAACCAGTGATGAGTAATTTAACCTACACATAATTTTATTTGCTACCTTGTTTTGTCTTGATTTTTCCCTCTCTCTTCCTCTATTTCTTCTTTCCTGACACGTTTTTTTTCTTGTCTATTATGTGATTTCATTGATGTTTTGACAGGGGAATTTCTTTGATAAGCTTTTAGTGGCTTCTAACCTCTCTGGCACTTTTCTTTTTTTAATCTTGTAAATTTTAAATATTATTCATCCTGTTATGCGTTGCCACGCATGTTTCCTCCTCCTGCAGCTGCCACGGTGTTGGCCTTTTCTGTAATGTTGCTTTTCTCCTCCTCATATTTTAGTAGAATTAATCTCTGATCCTCACGAGAAATACCTTTTTTCCCTCACATACGGCGCTCTGTGAGGACGCTCAGTGACGCTGCGCTTCTCTCATGATTGTGATTGGTCCGCTGCGTGCGCGTTCACAGCTCTTGATAAAGCAACCCTGGGTTACCGAGTTGATATCCAGCGTTGTGATACCGATTATCCTGACTGCCATTGTTAGAGTTAGTCAACCCAGGATAGGTCTGGGTAACCCAGGAAAGGTTGATCTCGCTTCATGATACAGGCCCCAAAGGTGGGAGGGATGGGGTGGATCAAACCATTTTTGAGGCAAGGGGGGTTGCTGTATTTTTGTTGTTAAAATATTACGTTTCAACCAAGTACTGTATGGTTTTGACACTTTTCTGGCTTTTCTTGTTAAAAAAGGACATACAGTAAAATAAATAAATAAATAAATAAAAATCTCTCAGATATTAGGGGTGCTGGGATTCAATTTAGGGGTGCTTCAGCACCCCCAAAAATGGGCTAGAAACACCTATGCATGCCTGTATTTCAAAAACATGTAAAGACATACAGTATACTTTAAAATAGATCATCAACAAGGTGTCCCGATATATTCCTTACTTTAAAAAATGTTTAGCTGAAAACTGGTGCAAATAAAGTGAAAATATTTAGATATGATACATATGATATGATGATATGATACATATGATACATGTTACACATAAACATGTTACACATAAACTAATCTATCTGCACCTTTATATTTACACATTTACTTGCTATTTTTTTGCATATACATTTTACTACACTTAAGTCCTGTTTACATTCTGTCTTTCAGTGCAACTACTGATTTATATCACATTTTCCTATTTATATTAATTTTATCCCTTATTCTAACTTGCACTAATTTCTATCATTGTATCTTAGATTCTCTTTTGTTTCTACTTGTGTGATTTTATTATTATTTTATTATTTTACATACATACAGTATTTAAATTCCATTGTAGGAGGAAGTCTGTAGCAACAACTGCTCTTATCATTGTTGCACATATGACAATAAACTACTTTGATCTCTGAACATTAGTTTTTGACCAGCCTGTCATCTGAGATTGTGTCATTCTGTTGGGTGTCGTGTGTTGACTGCTGAAAATAGAGTCGCTAGGGCTTGCATGCCAAAGAAGACTTAAAGTCTGATGGACTTACATAACATATAGAACTCACAGAGGTGATTAACAATAGACAATAAAACATTAAACAGTAGCTGATATGGAGGATTTGCTGAATTGCATAGAAAGAAGCAAAACACTTGACACTTGATAGTCATAAAATATATTTATTTAACTAGTAAAACGTCCACTTCCAAAATAGAATGACAACAGCACATATGTATAGGACGGCCCTAACAATGATTGGCATAAGGCTTTTTTTTCATGGTAATTACAATCTCTCTGGTAATGTTTCACTACTGCATACAGGGTTAACTGTGGAGGTGCTCAGGACCTCTCATGGCCTTTTGTTAATGCTGCCCCTATTCAGGGCCTGACACCAGGCTGACACTATAATCTGATCTGTTGGCAGGTTCGATTCTTCCTTGGCTTCCTTGGCAGGGTAATTTATTCCTTGGCTTTGTGCATTAGCCGCTATGGCTTCGCCAAAACGGCGACTGTGCGTTTCAAGCTTTAGCACTCGATACACTGGAGTTCAAAACAACACATGAAGGTGTTCTGAGAAGGAGGATCAGTCCTCTCCATTGCTATATTATCATCAGGGCATCAAAAATGCAGATGAGCTTTTGGTTACAAAACATAATTTAGGAATCACTTAAGACTTATTTTGCATAATCTATCAGGCTAAAAACAGACATAATCCAAAATACTAATAAAAACACAACACAGGATGACAAACACATGAAAGATTGGAAGATTAGGTTGTAAAATAAGAGAAACAAGCCATTGGCGTGGTGTTGAGAATCCAGCATTAGCAGCAGCCTGTCCTCATGTCCTCTGTTGCTGTAATTCAAATCAATAAGCAGGTCAGCGCCTATAGGCATCACGTCTGCATGAGACTGTGCGTGCCATGTTGTGTGTGTGTGCGCGCCAGAGGGGGATTTTCTGAGTCAATCGGTTGTGATGGAGGCGGCTGCAGCGTTTCATTAAGCTGCTGTGATGCAGAGGCTGGCAGTCAGTCAGAGATTACAGGCAGACTGGCAGCGGGAGTGTGTGAGCCCTGTGTGTTTGTGTGCGCCTCTTTTTATCTGCACCTTACCCTCCTCACAGATGGTGATGTAGTTTCATCCTCCCCCCCGCCTACTGCGACTAGCTTGTGCTTTCTGCTGACTCGAGAGCTCCATAACTCATCTTCAATTTTCATTCTTGTTGTGTTTGTTGACACCACGAAGACCTGCGCACACCGGTGTAATGTCTCTAAAACATTGGCACTGAATGCTAAGTCCCAGTAAACGTGTCGCAGCCATTGTGAGGTGTCTTAAAGAATAAATTATGACAGACTGCCCAGCATTAAAAAACAATGAGCCACAGGAATTTCATTTCTTTTAAAAACTGGACGGAGAGCGATATGTTTGCATTGTGGCTCACTGCAAGAGAGGTAACTGACTAAAGGGAGGGGGAAGGGAGAGGGCAACAGGGCAGAAAGGGCATAAAAGAGGGGGAGGGGGCATTACTGGAAGGAAGCACGGACAGAGCGACCCTTGAGAGGCTGGGGAGGGCGGTAGTTGTCCACCATGCAGCACTCGGCCTCACCCTCAGCGGAGAAGAGCAGGCTGCGGAATTTGGCCATCTGTGAAAAGGGAAAAGACGGTCATGTTAGCCATTCCTGCTGACCTTCTGTGACTGTCACTCAGCAAACACATGACTTGTGTCACAGCTGAGTCACTGACTTCAGAGCCTTGTGCTGTGGATTTCATCTTAACAATTGTATCGTTGATACTTAAAGGAATAGTTTGACATTTTGGGAAATAGATTTATTCAGTCGCCATGATGACAAGTTTGATACCACTTTCAAGCAAGCCCCTGAAAACAGTGCCAGGCTTTGAAGCCAATTTTACATAATGATCAAACATGGAATTGCAGCTTCCGTCCAAAGACTTTTTCACATAGACTTACATTGTGAAAGAAATATCTGTAAATAGGTGGAGAAATTTTTTTGAGCATCACAACCCAGATGAAATGAATTGTTTCACCATCAGAACTAGATTCATTCTGTCTGATAACTTCTAAATCTAGAATAGTCACATGATTAAATTATTTTATCTCCATTCAAGTTAGCAGAGCACTAAACCGGAAGTTAGCCGCTCAGCAGTAAGTCGTGCACTTGCTCCAAGGGCCCCATGATGCGAAGATATGGCAATTTCCACACTGCGGAAACTGAGCATTTTTTCTTCACTGAGCAACTTTAATAAGAATGAATGGGGCTACGCATCCACTCATGTATGTATGCCAAATGCAAAGCTAAAGCTAGCAGCCCGGTTTGCTTAGCGTAAAGACTGCATTGTCTGTATGCTAACGATAAAGCTACAGTTAGTAGCTGGTTAGCTAGTGGAAGAAACAGCTAGCGTAACTCTGTCCACAGGTAGCAAAATCCTCCTACCAGCACATGTAAAGATCACCAATTAAAATGCTGTATCTCATTACTTTGATGTGTACAAAAACTTAAGTGTAAAAACTACAAATTGAGGTTATTTACAACTTATAGTCTTAAGCTTGCCGCCTCGTTGCTGTAGCGTCATGAAGGAGATACCGAGCTAATGTTACGGTGCACAAATAGATCTGGGAGATGGGTAGTTAAGTATAGGGGCCTCTTGTTTCCTTCTCAACATCACCATGAAAGAAAATACAGGTGGCTAATGGCTGTGAAAAGGAAGAACTGGAAACTGGGATCAGACGAAGGCTTTTGCGGTACACGGTAAATTGTCAGCTAACATATGAACCATAATTAACTGACATAAAGTTATCGTTTTTTTTTTTAAGTGAAAATTTTTAGATGTCTTTATTTATACTGGTAGTCAGTATAACTGAGTAAAACTGGTTGCAGACATGTTTAGCTGGCTAACGTTGCCAGATGACTGTCCAGTGTAAATTTATGTAATGGCTCACTTTAATCACATTTAGCATTAGCACACGCAGCTTAGCCAGCTAAGTCTCTTGATTTCACTAATGTTACCAACATGTAAAAGTTGTGCATTCAAAATGTTATTGAATCTATGATGCATCACATTTTATAAGCTGAACATGTTTTGTACAAAAATTGTATTTTTAGCAAAAGAAATGCATTGCCTAATCTTTATTTTAAGCTAACTGCTGCTGGTGTTAGCTTCCAAATAGACACAAACACAAGAGTGGTATCAATCTTCTTGACTAACACTTGTCAAAAAAGTTTCCCAAAATCTGGCAGGGCAAGAATAGCAAGTCAGCTGCTACAGCTTGGTGTCAGGTGGCCTATTTAAAGGATTTATCATTAACTCAGGCTAATGAATTAGTCCATGGTAATGTCACTGCTGCAGCCACTTGAGTATCATGTTCACATTGGGTAAGAATGCACTACTGGGACAAAATGATTCAGTTAATTGTGTATTACCTGATTAGAAACCATTAACTTAAGACATGTATTACTTCATATGAATGACTTCCTCGTCATTTATCTGCTTGACCGGCCTCATATGGCACCAAGTCTAAAGGTTGTGTCAACACGTCTCACATGTTTACCCTTGAGACACCTACTTGCCGCCATGAAATAAACATTTGAGCTGGCAGTGTTCATTTCAAATGGCCTATAAAGACTCCAGCCACAAGGCCAAACCTGCCTCAGGAGGCTGTTAGTTTAGATTACTGGGTGGTTAGAAGTCAAATATCCACTTCAGCAGTTTAGGGTTAGGGGTAATTTTAGGAGTAGGCTAAATACTTAGCAAATGCAGGTATGATGTCGACAGTGTTTATTCAGTTATGGTTGAAACCACCCACTGACTCAAGCTAAGTTTCTTCATCAACAGTATGTGATGCATGTGTGGGGTGGACAGTTCCTGTTGACTCCCCACACGCTGAAACAGAAATTCTGTGGTAATGCAATAGCATGTGTGAACTCTCATTTGTTCCCGTTCTCTTGGTATTTTCTTTTTTCTTGTGAAAGTGAAACAGGCTGCTGTATTGCCTCTCCTCCCATTACAGAGGTTTCTTCTTCTCCTCTCAGCTTATCTGAACAATTAAGCCCTTGATTTAGATCGTAGAGTAAGAGAGGATTTGCAGACAGGGCTATTCTAGACCACGGGCACACAGCCAATGCTTCTACTACCCACTGAATGGGCTCTGTGAGCATGCCATACCTGCTCACAACTGACGGTGATTGGCTCTTTGCAGACAATCCAGGTGACGCTCTCCAGCAGAGGAGGTGTGGTCAGGGAGCCATCATATGTCCAGTAGTCTAGGCTACCAGGGAGCAAGGTAGAGGGGTCAAAGCCACAGAAAGAAGTCTGCTTGCCCTGAACACAGTAAAGAAAATGAAGAACAGGTTGGTGAAACACCTCATCAAAAATCATCAAATGAATGAGAATACAGTTTTTATGGAAACATACCTTGGTCTTGATGGAATCAAAGGCATCAAGAATCTTCTGCAGACTTGGATTTGCAGCACCAATCTGAAAAACAATAATACAATGTTAAAGGGATTAATTATATGATCATCAGCAAACAGCAGTACCCATTGCTTTAAAGGTGTGCAGTGTGTTGTGCTGGTTACTGTAATACTAAACAACATGCTTTAACTACTGACCTTCAGGAATACTCCAACAACAGCGAGCCCATCAGGCTTGCTAGCAGCGTCACCAAAACTTGGGTATTTGGTGTTCCAGTGCACCAGATGGAGCTGGGAATAAATGAAACAGATAAATAAGAAATAAAGCCCCTCGAAAGTAGTCTTGTGATCCATTTTCAGAACCATGGAAATTCTGCCATTTCTTATCTGTATCAGTAGATACTGAACTGAAAAGCAGACGGGATGGATGAATTTTTTAAGTTTCTTTCGACTTCAACAAGCTTTTTGATCAAGGTAGGGGTGGGGATAAAACATTATGCTGTAAGATAATAACTTGACTCAACATTTTGGATTTATTTTTTGTTAAAAAAAAAATGTCAAAAAATGTAGTTATTAAAGAAGAACAACCAAAAACATATTCTCATACAGCGGTTCATATTATATGTCACAAATTAGCACCCCTACCAGTTAGGTTAAGTTTAGTAAAAACAATCATATCGTCACATTGCAAACTTAACGTAAAGCTACATAGGTTTTGTTTAGGAAAGTACAGTCAAGCAGGTTAGGTTTAAGAAAAAGAAACACGGTTGGGCGTCTTCAGGTTACATACCTAACGTAACGTTACGTGCTTAACATAACGTGACGACGTAATGATGTTCTGTAACTCTAATTGTTACTCTATTAGGCATTGTTTTTTGCTTTTGCCCCTTGAAAACACTTCTTATCTTGTATATTTGTATATTTTGACAGATATTTGATAGACAGTTGTTTCTAAAACTGGGCCCAGTGAGTGACTCTGACCTGGTTGTTACTGGTTGTTGAACGTTAAACTGTGGTTACTGTACTTAGTGTTACTGTAATTTGAAGCATTCTCTGGCACAAGGATTTCCTTCGGGATAAATAAAATTCTATTGAATTGAATTGAATTGCAAATAACTCAGGGTTCACTTGGGTTTCACACTGGAACCGAACAACTGTCTCCTTGGGGAAAGTCTTGTGTTTGTTTGAGCCACCCACAACCTCAACTTGGCTCCTCAAGCAGAGTTTCCCTCTTTATACTACTTCCTCCTTTACTCTCGTCAGTGCATTGGTCATGTGATTGCAGCCTCCACGACTACGTGGGTTACATACCAATTATTTGCTGATCATTACGTGGGTTATATATGAATTCTGGTGCATTACCTTTCTTGGATAAACATACAAACAGTGCATCAGAATAGCCTGCAACTATATTAATTTGCTCACAGATTGAAGTTTCACCTATACAAACATCCTCTGGGGTTAAATACCTTAATTGGTTGAGTTCAAGCAAAAAACAACAGATGACAAGCACAAAAAAGTTGGTGAACTGGCATAGCTAAAAGGCAAAGAAAATTAGTTCTCTACTTGGGCCTAACTTTTATCTGAGCCAGAGAATGATACTTAAGTTCACTACCTACAATACAAATAAAATTAAAAACTCAAATCTGCTTTATCCTCCTCGTTACTGCGTGTCAACCTCAATCTGTCAGAAACAATAGCTGTATGAGTGTTACTTTCATAATAATGGCTCAGAGCATCCATACCTCAGCAGGATACTTGGTCCCCCCCACAGTATGTTCAGAGCCCTTGTCATCAGAAGCTCCCCAGTGGAAATGAAACTGCTTGAGCCTGTAGACTCCAGAGATCGGTCCGTCTGTCAGAGCTGCAGAACAAACACACATTTTCCCATCAGTTTCCCACACTGACCGTGGGTAGCGCTGTGGTCAGCCATGATGAGACCTTGTTATAAAATGATGTGGTGATTCATAGGCAAGTTTTAAACATCCACATAGAAGGAAATTTTTTTTCCGAGGGGCAGACAATATGAAAAGCCAAGGTACACATTAACAAGATGTAAGTATACACACCCACACACACACACCAAGTACACACTTGTGACACTGTGGCAGACATGGAGGCAGACTCAGTTCCTGTTGTGTCGTCAAATTGAGGATTCAGTCGCAAATCATGTCCAGGTATTGTTAACATCAAGCCTCCTTCCAATGTTACATAATGAATCTATTCGCAGCCTACAGAGTGGGTGAAACTGTCGCAGATAATCCTGTACATTGTTCTATTTCTGGTGCTGCATTAGGAAATGCTGTGACACACAAACACACACACAGCCCTCTCCAAACAGGACCAAACAGGATATTTGTTTCTCAGTAGTCGGCCTCAATAGATAAAAAGGTGCAGACGCAATTTAAGGGTGTGTGGAACAAAGGAGGATGACTGAAAAATAAAAATAAAGAGGCCATCCATCTTTTCCACTGTGCACACACACACACACACACACACACACACATGATGTATGACATGGTGTATGACATTGACATACAGACTTAGCTTGTCCTTTATGTAGAAGGGCAGGGTGGAAAATAAGTAAAATACCAAGGAGGAATGAAGAGACTCAAACTCATCTAGCTCATATTCTCAGCAAAAGTGCTTTTGTTTTCCATCTTGATGCGTGTCCAGTAGATTGTGTTGGCTACGTAACCATATTCTTCTTTATCCTCTATCACATCAGCTAAAGGACAACCAATCCAAAGTCCTCCAAATCCTTAATCCATAAAAACCCTACATTTTTCTCATTTCTTTTTGGAATAAAATCTTACACGAACGGAAATGCAATTAAAATAAAGAGGAAAAAAATAATGCCATCTCCATTTTTATAATCTAAATGGAATAAAATCCAGCCTCTGTTATATGGTAACTCACTCCCACGCATATTTGGCGCATTAACAGTGAACCAAGCCAGGGTTTGTTTGCAGAGTAACCCTTGTTTTCTGCGCTTTGACCCCACAGCCTGCAGAAAGGACTTGGCGTGGGAAAGGTTTACCCGGGCGTTGCATTACCAATTCAATTAGTATCTGCATGCTTTGTGCTCGGCTTTTGAATGGAGCCCCCACAGCCGAAATTCATTCATTAATAAATGCATGTAAAAACACCAAAATGATAAAAATCTGTGTTCACTGAAGGCGCAGTTGGAAACTGGGGCGCATTATTCATCCATACAAATATTAACATATTATTAATATGCTGGACAGTCTGACTGTGAGAGCTGCACACACAGCAGCCGAGCACTGAACCTGAATGCCGCACCTCTTTTATAGCTACAAACATTGCAGTAATAATTGGAAACATAGGAGAATGTTGTTTCTCCATGTTAAAACGCAATATAACACCGCACATTTCTTAATCAGATTCTGATATCAAGCTGAAGGCTCTAATGAGCGGATGTCACACTAACTTGAGCTGTCAGTGTCGTCTGCGAAGGACACTTGGAAGGAATGTCCGTTGTTGAGGATATCAAGGCAGGTGGAGGGGTCGTACTTCAGCTTGAGCGGCTTCAGCCCCGCGTCGTAAGATGCTGCACCAGGTACGATGTCAATGGGAGACTGGCGGGGTCCATTGGCAATAGGGAAGTTATCACACCATTTGTCGGGTCCTAAAATGACATATTGATACAACTGTGATTAGAATATTAGTCTTGAAATATGCGTTTTTAATGAGACAAACTGCGCGTTTGGGGATGGTGATGTGCTTAAACGCGCGTAAAAAGCCCCAAAATGCGCAGAATTAAAAGAAAAAAAAATCTCTGCAGTGACCCGTGCATTCTCTGTCCTCCCATTCATTTACTGCATACAGGTATGACTGGTTTAAACATCCCCCACAGTAATGTCAATCCTACATTATTATAGCGTGTACGTGCAGTGAGCGCCTCACCGTTGTTTGCTGCGTATCCCCAAGCGTGAGACATTGTTACAATTTGGATCTATGAGTATCTAGAGCTGTAAATTCCCTAAAGCGAGTCGTCCCCCAGCGCACACGCAGCCAGTGTCCTCCACCTGACAGCTGCACCGCTTATATAGGGTCCCCTGTGAGCGGTGTGTGTGTCGGGCTGGTGTTGGCCACATGACGTCCGCGCAATGACCGGGAGGAGTTTCGATGCGCCGCAACGTTGCAACACTGTGGATCAATGAGGATCTGTCTCTGCGCCCCCCCCCCTCCCCTCTGCTGCAGTGATAAAGTCTTCGTTGACAAGCGCCAGTGTGATGAGCTGAATCACACTCTTCTAAGAACGTGCTGGGCGCATTTTCACCTCTCACAGCGGGTTTAATTTACATGCCATGTGAGGAAGTAACGGAATTACGCGGCAGCGTGCAGCCTGTGTCACCTTCAAACTGCAAGTGGGCTACAGCTGTGACTTTAAAGAAACAATCGCTGTAAGATATAATAACACCACGGACTGAGAAGTTAAAGGAAAATGGTTTGTCCTATAATAAGTTATTATTAAAGATAAGCATATTTATTCCCTGTTGGATCACCGAGGGGATGAATGAGAGATAAGTGTAAAACAGTTAACAAAAATGGACTTTAATGTCAATGGATGTGACAATAAAGCAATCAAACATTAATTGCAACAAAGGTTGTTTGGCTTCAACACTGCAGCCTGTGGTGTATGTGATCCAAAAAAGGAACTAGAGCTTGCAACTGCACAGACTCTGTGTCTTGTGGTTTTTTTCCACTTCACTTTGAACTCCGAAATAACGACAACAATTAAATTATTAGGTTATTTCTTGTAAGCAAATCATATACATTAAAAAAACATAATTAGCGTCTTAAGGACTTTCGGTCGGGTCAGCAGTCCTAAGAGTTATCTGGCCGGCTCTTGCACACTAAGGCAGATAAAAACAGAAGGCGCACTGTACTGTATTTGTCTATCAGTGGCGGTGCTGCTGCTGCAGGTATACACAAGTAGGACAACTCTGTGTTTACTGATAAAAGAATTGACCCAAATGACTGACACAGCACAATCACATACTAGTAACCTATATAACATGCCATTATTTGCAAGAAAAGTATTTGCAAAAGTACTACTACTAGAACTACTACTAATAATAATAGAGAAATAATTAATTGTCTTGGTGAAGGGTCATTTCATCCTTCCAGTGCCTCTCTCCAAAATCTCCATTATAGTTTGACTGCATCCTAGTGGCCAGTGCAGTGAATCAATGACAGCTCAAGTTTTTCACAGTTATTCAGGCTGTGATGAACACGGTTGTGGTGGTATTATGGTGCCACCTGCTGTTGGTCAATGAGACTACAAGGTGAGTCTTTTCCCCCATGCAGCTTTGATAGGCAAACAAATACAACTGAAAGAAAAAATATTAATTCGAGTAGATATTGCATAAAGGGTATTGTAGAACATAGTGCTTAAAATGTCATATTTTTTGTGATTTCTCAACAGATAACTTATGAAATGTTAAATCATAGGCATACCATCAATTTCAGTGGTAGGGTGACAGGGTAGCTTGGTGCAAAATGTAGTGCAACAAGTGGGTGGTATTATTAGATAAAATAATTATTTGCAGATTTGCTGTGCTTTTATTTTGAAGGACTCATGTCCGAAACGGAAGTGTTTTCATTTTATCCACTTTTATTCACTGATAATAAATAAATCAGGGTGTTACGACAATGAACTGGACATGAAAAATATCAGTCATATTTTTTATTAAAACAGAAGAGAAAAAAGTTCAGACATCAAAGTAAACACAGCATCCCTGAACATTAAAACAGGAAGTATTTTTCTCAGTGACAGTGTCCTTAAAATAATGGTGTGGACTTTAAGCAGGCAAGTAGCTGTGTCATTTCCTGGCATCTCCACACACGCACACATACACACAGGTGAGTCACAGTGTTTGACCAGTCTAGTCCATAGGTCTGGTTATGTAATTGAATCCAGTCTGAACCCTGATTGGCTGCAGCCCTGGATCCGTGCCCTCATACAAGGTCTCCTGACTGCCTTCTCCATCCACACAGATCCCCTGCTTCTCAATGGTGTAGTTCAGCACAGCAAATGGAGCCACGGGTGACTTGGCTATCAGTATCTGTCTCTGGTGTGCATCCACATACTGGACAATCAGACGTGTGTTGACACTGTGACTCCACGTGTTCCCCAGAGCTGCTGTTACAAACCCAGAATCCCCCTCAGATCCCCCCACGTGAGTTGTGATCTGGTTGGTGAGCACCACAGGGATGTTAAACTGGTGGGCCAGGTATTTGAGGGTGGAGGCCTCGTGGCCCAGCAGGTTGCTGCGGTGAATCAGGTTGCCGGGCAACGTTGTGTCAAACTCCTTTCTCACCACAGAGGCCACAGAGTCCAGGATAATGAGACCTGCTGCAGTTGAGATGATGTCCTCTTCTAGTCTCTCCAGTCTGTTGAGGACATCTTGACAGGTGAGCTCCCTGAATAGATGCACCCGCCCAGCCATCTGCAGGACTTTCTCCTTACTGCTGAAGAAGTTTGGGAACCGGCTCTGCGCAATCTCCACCAGCCTCTCGGCAGAGAAAGCAGACTCTGTGTCTATGTAGATCACATCACTGTCCATGCCTCCCTCACTCTTTGGCAGAGTGGCCAAAACGCTCAGCATCAGACACATCTGAGTCTTCCCACAGCCAGAGGGCCCTGTCACCTCTGTGATGGTCCCATAGGGCAGGCCTCCTCTCAGGAGTTTATCCAGAGCAGGTAATGATGTGGAGAAACACGAGTGTTGCTTCCACAGCTCCAGAGCCGTGATGACAGGCGGTGCGACGGCTTTGCTGACGGACTGCATCAGCATCACAGCTTTCTGATAGCTCATCCCTGCGGCATGCATCACCTCAACAGGAGACAGAGATAACAGGTCTTTACAACTCTCTATGTGATGTCGTTTGAGTTGCTCACATATTTCGTCTGAAACGCCGGCTCGCTTCAGAATTCTAGTCGCCATGTTGGCTCCTTTTCACAGCTTTCGCTTCAACTGGTAAGACGGCAAAACGTTAAAACAATTCAACTTTCTTNGCTCGCTTCAGAATTCTAGTCGCCATGTTGGCTCCTTTTCACAGCTTTCGCTTCAACTGGTAAGACGGCAAAACGTTAAAACAATTCAACTTTCTTTTTCTTTTTCTTTTTCTTTTTCTTCTTCTTCTTCTTCTTCTTCTTCTTCTTCTTCTTCTTCTTCTTCTTCTTCTTCTACTACTACTGCTACATTGCGTAGACCCGCCCCACTATGCTGTGATTGGCTACTCCTACCGTGTTGTAATTGGCTAGTACTTGTTACGTTGACGTGATGACGCAGCAGAAAAGGCACGTTTGATAGTCGCTAGCACATGAGGATATCAACACCAGCCAGCAGCTTCTTAAATAAGGTATGTTTTTAAGTATTTTATCGTTAAGTTTGAGCTCCGTACGCACTGTTTTCGAGCCCTTTTGTCAGATATAATGCCATTTAGTAAAATTAATCAACTTTATCAGAAAATGACGAAAATAGCTCGCGCACAGCGTCATGTAGCGTGTAGGAAGGCAGCAAGCTGGCGACAACATCTGGACACTTGTGAGTTATTTGAGTTGACTTGATGTTTAACCAGGCGGATATGAATACAGTTTAAGAGTCATTAAATGTTCTTCAAGAGGCAGGCTACGTGCTTGGTATTTATTTACATTCACCTACAAGTAAAACTCATAATTTGCCCCAAGCACATTGCACATTTCATTTACTCATTTCAGATAGACTTAATGTGAAGATAAATAAAAGGCAGTGTTACACAGTACATGATAATATCTGTCAAATCACTGTCAGGTTGTCTAATTCACTTCACAATTGACCCGTGTTTGAAGAAGTTAGTCTTGTACTTAAATAAAATCTTAATGCTACAGTGTAGTAAAAAAACAGTATCAACTATCGTTTATTTATGGAAAATAACTGAGTATTAAGCTCTTATACAGCAATGCCCTAAATTCACATTCATACAGGCTTGAATGACACATAATATATGACATCAACTGCAAAAAAGGATGAAAAAAATCAGTAAAAAGAAATAACTGGCTGTGATCTGTCGAGAATAATTAACAGCAATAAAAACTGTAAAATGACAAAAAATTAAAACAAACAAATAAACAAACCTGCCATGAATTAAGGATATATAACAACAACAAAATGTAGTAAAATAAAAACAATTAATAATGATCATGTCTGTAATTTTCCCAAAGCAGGGACACTGTACAACAACATATCATCTAGCGTACACATGCACAAATATTCTAAAGGACACATATCTGTCTGATTTCAACACCTCTTGTAACTTATTCCGTTTACTTGGTGGGAAAACCCCCCCCAAAAACTAAAAGCTATTTTACCAAGTTCAGTGCTGATCTCAGGAGTTACCCTGTTACAACTAAAAATCCTGCATTCAAACTCTTACTTAGTTAGAAATAAAACAGTATGAGCATCATAATTAACATTAAATACCACACTGTACTCTCACTGCAGCATTGTATGTATTGTATTATTTTAACTATTGATGCATTAATGTGTACACCACTTTAGAGTTGCAGCTGGTAGAGTTTGGGTAGTTTTAATAGCTTGATATCAAACTTGGTAGCTTGATCCATATTAATAAATCTTAAGTTGATTATTTTTTTTGGCATTGAAAATCAGAATCCTTGAAGAACTAATGCTGTCAAATAAATGTAGTGGAGTAAAAAATACAATATTTGCTTCCAAAGTGTAGTGGAGTGGAAATACAAAGTAGCATTAAATAGAAATATTCAAGCAAAGTACAAGTACCTCAAAATTGTCCTTAGTTACATTACACCACTGCACTTCACTGTAGGATTTTGTTAAGTTAATAATACAGTGTATCCAAATTTTGTTTAATTTTTTCATGTAGTAGACCAATTTCCTTTATTTAAAGGTTTAAAGCACATTACATTGTATCGTACATGTATTGGTCTAAAAGGTTCTGTAAAGCTTATTATCTTTACCACTACTGTTGCTGCTAGTGCATTAGATTAATTTGAAAGATGCATTTCTCAAAAGCAACTTGTATTTTTCTTTTTTCCCCTCCACTAACCCAAGTGACTGTCAGTCAGACTGTTGGGGTGAGAGTTTGTTTTGTTTACAGTGCAACTCTTGGTAAATGTCTAGACACTGTCGTGCATGAAACTGCAAATCAGCTGCAAATTGGAAAAATGCCCAAATTAGTGTGTTTGACGTCTATTTATGCCGCATTCAGAGTCACTTAATGAGCCTTGTTAATACACCACCTGAACCCCTTGACCCTGTTCAAGTTTTATGACTCACTGTCTCAAGGAGTGAGCTTTTGGCAGAAACAGAGGTGTTGCTAATCAGGTGGCTGCTGAGTGTAGAAGGCATGTGGAGAGGCTGGATCAGCATTAGTCTTTTTAGAGCAAGTAGTGAGCCTGCGTGATCAGTGTGGAAACTATCACTTTAGAGCACTGGTTAAAGAAAAAATACATGATAAAACAGAGGTTATAGAAAGGAAATCTCTCCTGTGAGCCTATCATGCTGACTGCTGTTCTCTCCTCAGGTAACATGGGGAAGAATAAACAAAAGGGGAAGAAGCAGAAGAACGTCTTTCAAGTGGCAAACAAGCACATGAAGCACAAGAACAAAGCAAAACCTGTCACGACGACGCTCAAACATGTGAGATCTCTTTCTTCTTTCTTTCCTTCTTGCATATATTTTGTATTCTCCCTTGTATGTTGTGTTAAATGCAGCTGCTCTAGCATACGGTAATTTATGGCTTCACAGATCAATGCAGTGAAAAATGAGAAGGTGGAAAACCTCAATCAAATCTTCACAGAAGTCCAGAGGGACGTTAAGAGCATTTCCAAGTCTGTTGCTCCTGCACCAAAGAAACAAACACAGGTAGGAAGTTGTAATGTTTGAACATGTAAAACTTGTATTCATCATCCAGCATTTTAATCCTCTTGATATAACTAATCCTTTTTTGTCTTTTTAGGTTGTCAGAGAGCCACCAAAGGAATCTGTAAATGTTGACAGTGCTGCTCAGCTCTTCTCCCAGCTATAATAAACCATGAAAGTGGGACTGTCATAAAGTCTGAGGACAAACGCAGTGACTGACTGTTGTATGTCTCTCCATGTTGGACATGTGATATAACAAAGTTGGTTTACTTCCGATGTATTTTGACACTCTGTGCCAAAATGAAGATTGTAGATACATTGGGGTTTATGCATGAAAGTAAAACCTTGTGTGTAATTTAAAGGTCCAGTGTGTAGGATTTAGGGGAATATATTGGCAAAAAATGTGATATTATATAAGAAGTACATTTTCTGTAGTGTATAATCACCTGAAAAAAAAAAACTGTTGTGTTTTCGTGACCTTAGAATGAGGTGTTATGTCTACATAGGGAGCAGGTCCTCGTCTACAGAGTCTGCCATATTGTATCGGCATGTTTCTACAGTAGACCAGAATGGACAAACCAAATACTGGCTCTAGATAGTGCCATTTCCGTTTTCTTGTCGACCACCACAGTAAGCAACCCCTCCATGATGAGAGCATCGGAAAAACACAGATTTTTTTTTTTTTAAGTGAAACTGCTTTATTCAGTATTTTTACCGGTTTAAATCACCTGGTTAGTTTTAGAGAGGAAGAAACTGCTGCAGAGAATTCACTTCCTGGTAAAAACCTCCTGAACAATGACCAAAATAAGTTTAAGCAGAGTGCAATCTGCAATCTTCACTGCTAGATACCACTAAATCCCCCAAAATCTTACACAATGTTCCTTTAAGCCCTCTGTATATTCAGTGCAAAGAAATGTAATCAGTTGACAGATTTGTGCTCTATCAATTGTGTCATTGTTTCAGACGCAAAGGATGTTTTTTTATCTTTACTGATGAAGAGTCTTTTGTATAGAAATGTATTCTTTTTCTTTGAGCTGCAACTAATTATTAATCTGCTTAATATTTTCTTGATTCATTTATAACTTCTTGTTTTTAAGATATCAGAAAAAAATAAATAACTGCCCTTACAATAAACAATAAACAGTCCGAAACAAAAATGTATTCCGTTAACTTCATGTATATTGAAGAACATTAGCAAATCTTCACATTTGAGCAAAATGAGGCAGAATTTTTTACACTTTTGCTTTGAAAAATGACTGAAATGATTAATCATTAGAAAGAAAAAATCCTCTATTGATTTGCAGTCAATCGATGTAGTCATTTTAACTCTGTCTTTATTAAAGTGTTGATACAGTTTCCTCATTACTCATCATCTTGAATCTGAACATTAAAGTTTCTTGTCATTTCTAGACAAAACATTTACAAAAAAAAATATATAACCATGTACACTTTACGATATGCTTTGAGTTTTGTTTTGCAAAGCAGTTCAAGGTTTTCACACCCTTTTTTCATGCTTTTCATACCTTGGATTTGGTGTAAATGAAGTCACAAAGGAGGTCATTGTGACTTGTGCTGGTTGTACTGATGAAAGTGTTTGCTTCAAAGAATTTTGTCCTCATGGAAATCATTAAGATTTCAAGTAGAAGTTTGCAAAAACAGAATTTAAATGAGGAATTCACACATGTAGTTTCATTAAATAGTATGTTTAAAGCTGCTTTTGTCATGGAGGTGCTGTTAGAACTCATTTTGAGGCTGTGGTTTTTCTGCACTGGACTGAATCATTCTGTCAGGCATTTCTGATATTCCGTCCACCCCCATATGTACAAGCTATCTATTTCAGGGCTCCACACTGTCATTTCTATTAGGACTGCACCTGAAGATGAAGTATAGATTTTTCGGCTCCACCTGCGAGCAGTGGGTAGTTATCTGTATGCTGCTGCTGCATCCTGTTGTAGCAACTTGACATTAGAGGTCACGGGTGTACCAGTGCCCAGCTGATTGCTTGTCTTCATGCCGACCTCTGACTGAGTTAGTTGGTCAATACATCTGGAGAAAGGTGAAAGCTTGGGTGAGGCTGGTAAACAGACCAATGTATGTTGGGATAAACAAGTTAGGAAGAAGGTTTTCAAGGTGAGATGACTTGAATGAAGCTTTATTTTATTCTCCAGTGGATGTTCAGGTACTGAATAGCTTAAACATGCAGCGACTAATTGTTGTGACCTATTTGTGGGTGGCAGAGACAAGCTGTAACCAAAACTGCTATCACTTTTGGAGTCAATCTGATGACAATTCTTTTCAACATTTGACATATTTATTAAATACAGTGCCCTCCAAAAGTATTGGAACAGTGAGTCCAATTCGTTTACTTTTGTTGTAGACTGAAAACATTTGGGTTTGACATCAAAAGATGAATATGAGACAAGAGATCAACATTTCAGCTTTTATTTCCAGGTATTTACATCTGGATCTGATACACAACTTAGAAGATAGTATTATTTGTAATGGAACACAAAATTTTTAGGTGGCAAAAGTATTGGCACATATAAACTTAAAATAGATTAAAGTGAATGAGACTTAATATTTAGTTGCAAATCCTTTGCTTTCAATAACTGCATCAAGCCTGTGACCCATTGACATCACCAAACTTTTGCATTCTTCTTTTGTGATGCTTTTCCAGGCTTTCACCGCAGCCTCTTTCAGTTGTTGTTTGTTTTGGGGGGTTACTCCCTTCGGTCTCCTCTTCAGCAGGTAAAATGCATGCTCTATTGGGTTTAAGTCTGGAGACTGACTTGGCCAGTCTAAAACCTTCCACTTCTTGCCCCTGATGAACTCCTTTGTTGTTTTGGCAGTGTGTTTTGGGTCGTTATCTTGCTGCATGATGAAGGATCTCCCAATCAGTTTGGCTGCATCTTTCTTTAAATTAGCAGACAAAATGTTTCTGTAGACTTCTGAGTTCATTTTGCTGCTGCCATCATGTGTTACATCATCAATGAAGATGAAAGAGCCCGTCCCAGAAGAAGCCATGCAAGCCCAAGCCATGACATTACCTCCACCGTGTTTCACAGATGAGCTTGTATGTTTGGGATCATGAGCAGAGCCTTTCTTTCTCCAAACTTTCGCCTTTCCATCACTTTGGAAAAAGTTAACCTTTGTCTCATCAGTCCATAAAACTTTTTCCCAGAATTTTTGAGGCTCATCTCTGTACCTTTTGGCAAATTCCAGCCTGGCCTTCCTATTCTTCTTGCTAATGAGTGGTTTGCATCTTCTGGTGTAGCCTCTGTACTTTTGTTCATGAAGTCTTCTGCGAACAGTAGATTGTGATACCTTCACTCCTGCCCTCTGGAGGTTGTTGCTGATGTCACTAACAGTTGTTTTAGGGTCTTTCTTTACAGCTCTCACAATGTTTCTGTCATCGACTGCTGATGTTTTCCTTGGTCTACCTGTTCGACGTCTGTTGCTTAGTACACCAGTGGTTTCTTTCTTCTTCAGGACATTCCAAATGGTTGTACTGGCTATGGCCAATGTTTGTGCAATGGCTCTGATTGATTGTCCATCTTCTCTCAGATTCACAATTGCTTCTTTTTCACCCATAGACAGCTCTCTGGTTTTCATGTTGGTTCCACCTCTAAATGCAGACTGCACAGGCAAAACTTATCGTACCCAGTCTGAAACTGAGCTCAGACATTCAGTGCTATTTATTGTTTGAATAATCAATGTAATTGGGAGACACCTGGGCAACAAAACACACCTGTCAGTCACATGTTCCAATACTTTTGCTCTCATGAAAAATGGGTGGGTTCAAACAAAAGGTGCTATCTTCTAAGTTGTGTATCAGATCCAGATGTAAATACCTGGAAATAAAAGCTGAAATGTTGATCTCTTGTCCCATATTCATCTTTTGATGTCAAACCCAAATATTTTCAGTCTACAACAAAAATAAAGGAATTGGCCTCACTGTTCCAATACTTTTGGAGGGCACTGTATTAGTTTTGTTGTTTCTAGACAGCAGGATAGCTTATGTCAGGGGTGGTATGGTCAGGTTCAGTTGTAATGCTATGTTACAACCGACCACACTACGGTTAAGATGGTGTCCAGTTAAGCAACAAAATTAAAATAGCTGATTTTTTCCCCCCTCCACGCCAGGGACAGACGTGGACAGAGGTATTATGTTTTTGGGTTGTCCATTTATATGTGCGTCTGTCTGTCCCATGCTTGTGAATGCAATATCTGAAGAACACCTAAGGGAATTTCTTCAAATTTGGCAGAAATGTTCACTTTGAATCAAAGCTTAACTAATGTGTTTTTGATGGTCAAGGGACAAAGGTCAAGGTCACTCTGACCATGCATTCTCATTCTCGTGACTGCGATACCTCAAGAACACTATGAGGGAATTTCTTCAAATTTGGCACAAATGTTCACATGGACTCAATAATGAATGTTTATTTTTTTGTAGTCACAGGTCAAAGGTCACTGTGACCTTGCCTGTCTCATTCCTGTGCGTATGATATCTCAAAAATACCTGGAGGGAGTTTCTTAAAAATTGGCACAAATGTCTCACTAATGAACTGATTGTATATGGATGGTGAAGGTTGCTGTGACCTTGCATCTATTTAATTCTCTTGAATGTGATATCTCAAGACCAGCCTCACTGTGCATTCACACTAAAAGCGTCATGAGCGTCATAAGCGGCTGGCAGCCATTCATTTTCAATGTACGCTTGCTACGAAGGGCGTCAGGGGCGTCGGCTGCAGCAAGCGGCGCAATGCCAGCGACCAGAGCATCAAGTAGAAGTTGAGAGAAGCTGAACTTTATGCAAATGAGCAGCGCCGCTGCCGAAGCAGCAGCCAATTGCAGACCTGGATTCGGGTACGGAGGTCTGGGCTCTCCCGGAGCTGTACGAGCCGATGAAATTCACCGTGGAATTGCCGGGTTTGCAGGACTCTGTGGACCCAGACAGCCCGACGGCTCTGGGCCCTGTGTTTCCTCAGCAAATACGCCGATGCAGTACAAAGGAGGCTTCCGAAAGTGCAATTTATGAGCTCCCGCTTATTTATCACCAATTACATTTCTCAGTGGACCTACATGCCAACGGGAGGGTGAAATCATAATTATAAAGGACTCATAAAGGCTATATTGACTGTGTTCATTAGCGTTATTTTACTTGTGTAATGAAAGTTATGGACAATACAAAGTGAAGACATAAATGATATATTTGTTCATCCTTGTAAAGTGAACAGCCGTGTCAGCCTTGATGGACACATCTGCAGCCCCCCCCCTTTGGCCGCTAAAAGCGCCTGCTGGAGCTGCTGCCAGGCAGCGCGATGCCAGCGACCTGAGCGACCGCTGGCGCTCATGACGCTTTTGGTGTGAATGCACAGTCAGGGAATTTCTTCAAATTTGGCACAACTGTTCACTTGGACTTGAGGATGAACAATTAGGTTTTGATGGTCAAGGGTCAAAGGTCAAAGTTGCTGTGACCTTGTGTTCATCTCATTCTTATGAATGCAATATCTCAAGAACAGGGAGAAGAGCAAATTTCTTCAAATTTGGCAGAGATGTCCACATGGACTCAACAATGACCTGATTATTTTTTGGTGGTAATACATTTAAGGTCAAGGTCACTGTGACCTTGTCTGTCTCATTCTTGTGAAGGTGATATCTCAAGAATACCTTGAGGGAATTTCTTAAAATTAGCACAAACTAGCCAGTGGGATACACACATGCACCAATATGCAAATGTGTTCGGACAGTCTACCACAGCAAAACACAGAGAAGCTCAGATTACAGTACACACAGGAGGTAGCACCAGTGATGTAGTGGAGAGTATGTGCAGGTAAACGGGGTATACCCACCTCTTTTTCTGGCCGTTTATACCCACCTATAAGCCAGAAACCTGTTGGAATACACAGGAGAATATACCCACTTCCTCCTCTGTAACCTACCCATCTACCTTGTAGGTTAGCACACCCACCTCATCAACAACACTAAGGGCCTGTCCCAATACCCCACCTTAGCCCTACCATTTGGCCCTACCCCTACATTTGCGCATTCCTGCAAGGGGTAGGTGTGTCCCAACTCCTTTTTGCGTGTAGGGGGCATAACAAGGGGTAGTGGGTATGAAAATAGCCCTTCGGAACGAGGGATTTCAGATACTGACTTGCCAGCGATGGGTAGATGTCGCCATGGCTACCACCGAGCAAGAGACGGGGAAAAAAGTCCATACATAGCTAACGTTAGCGTCGTCAGGTTGCTTGTTAGCTAGCTAGCTAGCTCGCACTATCTGACATCTGTCATCTGTCCTGTTCTGCAAAATTGTCAGATTTTCCACATTACGATAACACGCCAGCTAGTATAACTATGCTGCCTCGTAATGTTAGCTGGTTAGCTAGCTATCTAGCTAGCAGAAGTCCCCTGCCGTCTGTCGTAAATAACACGAAGCATGATGAATAAAGCAAACATGGTAGGTAGGATGAACTCAACTGGAGACTCCATTGTAGATGCCGGTTGGAAATGTAGATGGCTCGCAGCTTCCTGTTTAAAATAGTTACGTATGCGTGAACGTAACCAACTAGGTGACATAGTGAGTGGTGTCCCAGTTCCTAGGGAAAGATTTCAACCCCTACCCCTCGTTGCTTCATTTCAACGGCCAAGGGATAGTGGGCGGGGGGGGGGGTATTGGGATTGGGCCTAAACCACTGGGTAGAATAATATCTGCTCAGGATGCCATCACTCCACTATATCTTTACATAGCAAATAGTGGTCTGCTGCTGTATCAATGCTCTGAATGATGCTTACAGAACGTTTACAGTTGCAACCCATAAAACCAAAACAATGAGCTGAAAGATGCTAAAATGCTACACAAAGGGGGTGTTGGTGGCTTAGTGGTAGAGCAGGCGCCCCATATACAAGGCTGTTGCCGCAGCGGCCCGGGTTCGACTCCAGCCTGTGGCCCTTTGCTGTATGTCACTCCCTCTCTCTCTCTCTCTCTCTCTCCCCCTTCACACTTAACTGTCCTATCAATTAAAGGCAAAATGGCCCAAAAAAATATCTTTAAAAAAAAATGCTACGCAAAGCTACGGGGAACTGCAAAGGGTTTGTCACTTGTGACTGACCCCTTTCACATTAAACGTTTTTGATCTTTTCTCATTGTGATTTGAGCTGCTTTAAGTATAAATGTGTAACTGTATGAAGAGGGATGCTGCTGAAAAAGAGCAGCAAACCCCTTTTAGCATCAACAAAAGTTGCAAAAAAAGACAGCAGAATCACAGGAAATCTCAATAAACATGAAAAGATTTGGTCTGAAATGCATCAGATCTGCGCCTTCAGGGCAGGAACA